CTCTCCTAGACACTCTTCAGATAGGTATTATAAACATGTCTATGGGAACAGAATTTACATCAAAACATGTGATTTGACTGAAAGTGTGAGGGGAAACAGCTATGTCTACAGTACACTTGACTAGGCTGATTACAGTGGAGGCTGTCATACCATCCAGAACAACCAACAATGATTTTCTAGACAATATTCAGATTTCTTCTTCCTGTCTAAATAAATCTAATTATAAGATTCAGGTTTCTGGAGTTTATATTCGTATTTATAAAATCAAGACTCACATTCTACTAATGTGTTGGAATAAATAGTTAATATCCATAAGAATTCTGTACTCTTTGCTGTACAATGAAGATATTTTGCATGTGCAAATACAGTTATATAAGTCTGATAGTGAGTTAATACTCACTAGAATGATTTTGCAGTTCTCTTATATCTTGTCATCAGAAGCGGGTGTAGCAAGAACATATTCACAAGTGCAGTGTGTCCCACCTATTTTCCAGAACAAAGATTTTGCACAAGGTAATCACGATCACTATTCAAGGGAAGGTGTCATTTACTAATGTCACTAAACTAAGAAAAAGACGCCGGGTGTGTTCTGAGATATTCACTTTCAATATACATATTAAATTGCTAGGTTTTTATTTACTGTCCAACAGACATTTTTGGCAATTCTTCTATACTATATACTGTGTGGAATTCTGCTAGATTGTCCCTTGAGTTAAAACTTTCACTATGTTCAGATAACTCTGGAAGACCTGATTCTACCACAAACATTTGCAAGGAAACAGCCATGTGACTGGGATAAATTCTGAGGAAGATCTTCTTTTTCCTTTTAGTCATCACCTATTTGTCAGCTATGTCCCAATTTGTGTGCTGTTCTCCTGCCTCTTCTGCTCACTTCCAAAAGCACCTAATCTCTTTTTGCCTTTTACTAATTTGAAACACAGCTAATTGCAGAGAATCACGTTCTGATCATCCTCTCTGGATGGGCAGCATAGCCATGGTTGCTCCTGCTCTCAACTGATTTTATGCAGAGCTCAGATCTGGAGACTTCAAACAGCTTATCCCTTTCTAGTATTTGGGCCATAGCTCACCTCAAAAGAGCCATCAGACATTTTTTTAAATCTAATGAGGGGTCTTCTTGCATAATTTTCTACCTAGACAGAGAAAAAAACCCAAACCACTGTGTCTTATTAACAAAACCTCACCTCTCCCTTCTTAGAAGTCCATGGGCCTTAGGTTTCTATATTCCTGCTGCTCTTGAAAGTTGGACTCGGGATTTTGAAATTGCACATCCATGCTGGGAATCCATCTCTATCAGACCCCTCTCAAGAAGAGGTTTTTGCATCCTGGCAAGAAACTCTGATTCTCACTGCTTCCCTCTCAGAAACCACAGGCTCTCCATTGGGACAATACTTGTGTGTTTATATTCAAGACCACCTTTTTTTCAATTGCTTTGAAAAAAAAAACAACACGAGGGTATGGTCCTACTGCAGTGAAGAACTGAAGCCAGGATAGAAAGGCAATTTTCTAAATCATTTTGCAAACATATATTTTATAAAGCAACATTTAAAACTAAATTATTCAAGGCCTTGTAGTTTTCAATGACCAGCAACATGGGCTTCTCACACCCTCAGACTTCATACCACTACCACATCTCAACATGGGAGGAAGGGAACTAGAGAATCAAATGCTGTTGTCACTCTGACCTGACATTTCTCATCCTCTTTACAAAAACACCCTTATCCCATCTAGCTCTTTCTATCACACTGAGACTTGGTTTGACAATGTTTAGGCCAAATCAAGCATTTGCAAGGGAGTTCCTTATTTTTGACTGTAGATTATGATATGAAAAACTTCAGCAACAGAACTGCAGATACAACTGCTGCCATAATTTGGATGGTGTGAGGTGTCTGTGAAGCTTACTTCATTCTTCTAACATAATGGTCAGATAAGGTGGCTGCGCTACATTCTGAGTTGTGCTATTTTAAAGGAACTCTTTTAGTTCCACAGCACAGAAATTGTTGACTGTGAATATTTGCAGCCACTACAGGGGTAATACATAGGAAGAGGAGTAATGGAAGACTTGGTAACTTATTTTACCAGTGGGATATAATGGTTCCTCAGCACTTCCCTATTAAGAAGAAAGAGGCATGAGGAAAAGATGCACTGTATGTCTTTCAAACTCTCCCTTGCTATCGTTGCTGAAATTACATATCTGTATAAAGACCTACAGTATCATTTGTAATGCTGCACTCTCTAGCACTGCTGCTTTAATCACATGTATTATAGGCAACAAGATGTATGAAGCAGGAAGGAAAATATGTGTTGAACCATACTTGGCCTGACATCCCATGACTTTCAGGAGAAAGGTGAGAGTGACAGGTTCTGGAGGCTGAAAGTCAAAAGCTTAACCATCGAAATGCTGTGTGGAGATTCATGTTTCATATAACTCCCCATCTAAACCACCACAAATCTTTCCTCACCCGCAGCCATCATCAACAAGGGGAAGACAGTTCAACCTCCATTCTTGTTCCGATCTAAATATCTGTGCTGAAGCAACCACAAAAGAAGACCTTTAAAGCCAATAGTAGCCATAATTATATTGTTGTTTGGCCAGATACTCCACTAACTAGGAACTCAGCTCCCACAGGATGCCAAACCGCCACCAGATGGTTCTCTGAAACCCTTTTTGCCAAGCTCACAATGCAATTTGGATGAAGTTGCAAACCTTGTGATAGAAAGTCTCTTTCTGCCACTACCAGTATTTCTGGACCCCTCAAGCTTTTTATCCCCTGCATATGCCACCCACACATGGGAGATGCAGCTCTGGCATGCTCAGCCACAGCAGGCATGTTGAAACTTGGTGGTGTGGCCCTGAGAGAAAGTGTACTTCCAGCCTGAGCTCGTTGAAATGACACCCCACCTCTCCTTTTCGTCATGGTCTGTCCTTCCCATGGAGACTCCATATACCACATCTCATCAGTAAGAGGTGGATCAGGAGGGAAACCACAAGGCTGTCCTGCATATGCAAGAGAATGGGACCTAATTACGAGAGAAAGAGAGGCGGAAGTTTGTTGCGTAAGACCAGCACGGAACACATGAGCTTTGACTACTTGTGCTCTTCTCTGTGAGCCTGTCTTTGCATTCAAATGCCTGCCTTCTCTCGTGAACCATGGCTGTGCTTGTTGCTGTGGTTGAAAGGAAATTTCTAGGGGTTTTCCCTTTGCTGGAAGTCCCCTGCTTAAGGCTGCTGTTGCTGCGGAACTGTGTGCAGCCTTCTGGTCGAGGGCTGAACCCTGTAGTCTCAATCTTCAATTAGCCTTCCCTTGGCCCCTCCACAAGGCTTGTCACTGGAAGGTTTCTCCCTGGGGTGAGGAAGACACCTGCTTGCGTAAGTAAGACATTTTTATCAATCTCTTTAGAAGTGCTCAGTCCAAGAGACCTGCAAGGCCTGCAGAGCACTCTGTCTTGTCTTCAGGAGAGTGGGGTTTTCTGCAGAATGCTGCACAATGGCCACCAATTAATGTCGTTTCAGCTTTGCCTCTTTTGTCTCACTGAAGTTGCCTGTGTTCAGGCCATTCCCCGCCATGAAGATTTTAGACTAAACAGAAGAAAACAGGAAGGGCTGATTTAGGAAATCTCTTCACAAGCAGATCCCTTGCTCTCTGCAACTGCTCTAGGGACCCATAAGCAAGGATCCTATCCCTCTGTTACAAGGGACATCAAACATCTCACTAGGGATAGACACAAAGTATTCCCAATCAGGAAGTCAAGGAAGTTTGATGATATTGTTGCTTCAGAACAGTTGGAGTTGGAAACTCCCTCAGTGTCTGTAGCCAGTATTACTTTCTGAATACAAAGACAGAGCGAGAAGAGTTATGGGAACACCTACCATGAGGCAGCTTCCTCAGAGCACCCACCACAGAGCTGAAATCCCCAGGTCATTCCAATGGTGAGAAATGGGAAACAGGCACCGTCAGAGAAAAACATAGTACAGGACCCTACTGCAAGTACTCATCCCTCTAGAAAAGTTTCTCTTTCTCTTCACTGAGTATGGAAGATACCTTGGAAGATGAGGTTATAGTTGGCAGCTCAGAAAGCCAGGTAGCTGAACACATACTGGTGGTGTCATTGACTGACCATGATTACAGGGGTTATAATTGTGTTCTTCCTTTCCCCTTCTTGCTGTGCTTTTGTGATTGCTGCTAGTAATCTCACTCACAATTTCTGCACTGCGGCCTGAGTTTTCATTATCAGAGACAGTTGCACTAATATTAGCAATCCCCTGGAGCCTGCAGCTTCACTTTGATAACTACTTTTTCTAACTGAATGCTTTGCATTTCACCTGGGTGACTACCACATGAGCATAATGCCATCCAACAGGGTTTTCTGCTAGTATAAAGGTTTTCTTCCATCTTATAGCCTTTAGTCATAGAAGGATTTCCTCCTTCTTCTAGCCAGGAAGCTGTATTAATTTGCTGAGCTTTCCAGCTCTGGGCCATGAAATGGGCAGCACCTTCATAGCTGGAGTCAGGGGAAAATATCATCAGGTATGTTGAAGCCACTCAGCTGTCTGAGGAAATGGTCTGGCTCCTCTCCAGTCACCTGTAGTAGCCTCCCCAGGGACAGCGTGGCATGCAAACCATGAGACACCCAGCCTCCAAAATCTTCAAGAGTCTTCCAGCAAAATTTCTTCCCTGCTTTCTGGGATTACTTTGTGGTAACGCGGTGACTATTGGCCTGGCTTTTCTTGAAGAGGCCTGAAAAGAATTCAGTTGTCTTCACTCACCATCAGACAGCTTTTCCTGTGTCAGAGGAGACCAGCTGCTGCCTCATTTTTCTAGGTCCAACATGCACGCCCAAAGGTCCCCTGCAGCTACAGCCCTACCATGTGGAGCAAGCCCAGGATTTTGTGTGTTAGCACGGGGCTGTTGGTACACAAATGATGAACTGGGAGGATGTGTCTCCAAACCGTATTTTGGATAGTGCTATATGAAGGTGTCTGCTAGGAATATTATTTCTGGCTCTGACCATGGCTTCTTTGGACTCAGCCTGCTATACTTTCTACAATTTGCTTCATTTTCTCTCCAGAGCAAAAGGAACTTACTGGTGTACAGACCCTCTTGACATAATCCCTTCTTTCAAAGGACCGATTACATTGTCACTTTCTGTTTCTCTCCTGGTAAGTGCTGCTGCAGCACACACATCCGCTCCTTTAATTCTTCCTCCCCTTTTGCAACATGCTGCCTGACACAACAGCAGTCAAGAAAAATCTCCTAAAGGAATTCTTCTGGGCTTTTACTGTGCTTTCAAGGAGCACCCTCACAGCTTAAAAGTGCTGCAATGAAGTCCTGGTCATGCAGATGCTCAAGGTTTGTCAGGAATGTCCTCCGGGAACCTGTGATCTCTTTCAGTAATAAAAGCACACTTATATGGTGCTGACTAAGCTCCTGGTATTAGGGGACAACAGCAATAATCCAATTTTTTTTCCATCTGAACATCATTTTGCTGTGTTGACGTCTGACTCTTGACCCTTTCACTGGAGTTTTTTCTTGCGCTAGTGCTTTTCCAACTGCTGCTTGTTAAGCACTTCCTTGTGGTGGGATTTCCCTTGTTTTCATAAAGTATTTTGTTTCTTTCCCAAGACAACACCGTTCTTCATGTTCCAGATCGCTGCCCCATCCCAGCTGTTATGGAAGGCCTGTGACTTCTGATGATCTTGGTACCCATTATTAATTGGTAAGTAGTTAACCAACACAAGGCTTCCAGTTTCTTAGCTGAGGTTGTTTTACGGCATTCACTTCATTCATGGTGCCTGAATCCTTCATTTGCTATGCAGTGATTTACATTCTGCTATGATCCAGGTTTAGTTTATGCTCCCGAATTTTGGCTGAGTGGCAGTATTCCCTCTTGTCTCGGTCGCATACCTCTAAGTTGTCATGTATGTTTTCACCTCCTGTCAACATTCATGCATCGTGCACCCTTTTCCCAGGAAATCTCTTGTGCTGATAACAGGCCAGCAGGTGTTTCCTACCAAATGTTGTGGCTGCTCATCTCTTCTTTCAGTCTCACCTGCCTCATGCAGCTCAGAATATGCTGCAGAGTCCCAATAAATAATAGCCTATAACACAGGGAGCCTACACCCTCCCTGAAAAATTGATTTGCTTTTTTGAAGTGATCTGTAGGTATCTGAAAGGTCATTTTCTTTCTCATTGTACCCATTTTAGAGGTCTGACTACTTTAAATCATACTTTTGTGTCAGGCATTGGGGTTCCTTTACGTCTTTGCACCTCACTTGCGGAATTGGTTGCTGAAATACCTGAGCTGTGGGTACCAGAGCCTTGGAGGACTACTTATTTTTGCGGTTTCCAGGATTTAGCCTATGTTTCCAGGCAAAAAAAAACTTTAACTGTTAGAAAAAACCCATTTTAATTGCCTCTGCTATGAAATGGATTGCACAGGTAGCAAGGAAAACCATTCTCTGTTTCGGGACTGATTTACCAGCATGTTAACCACATAGAAAGAGACAGGCTGACCTTTCCCTTTGCAGCTATATTCAATCTGTATTCCTCCAACACTTGGGGTGGAAGACCTCTGTATTTCTTTAGACCTACTGATGCAGGCAATGTTAGAGTCCAAATGGAAGCTGGCTTTTGCCCATCTTCTGTCTCATGAATACAGATTGGTTTTTCCCCAGTTATCAGTTTTGAATGTCACAGGTTTTCCTTTGGCCCTATGCAGCTAATGAGACCTAGGAAGCTAGCTGCATTGTGATCCTTCTCTTTGTACTGTACGGTAGCCAAGAAGAGTGCTGTGTCACTGCTGCTGCTTGAGTCTCTTTGGGGGTGCTCTCCAACTGCCAGCACCGTACACCCTGTACTTTTCTGTTTGCTTATGCGTCATGCTCCTACAAAACGGTTTACTTTGTGGTTGGAATCAAACAGCCTTATCAAAATGCAACTCTTCAATAAAGCTGAAATGAAACATTTGGACCTCATGAAAACGGAATATTTTGCTATTTTGCAAGGGGGGGGGTTAGGAAGGTGAACAGCTTCTCAGTTGTTGAGTCAGCATTTGGGGGCAGTGAGGGACGAAAGGACCTCCCTAAATGGCCAGAGCATTGTTTCCTTTTAGTGCTGTTTTGACAGAATTAGAGACAATGTCAGAACACAAAGCTGCAAATATGGGAAGATGGTATTTCCATCTCGATCCAAAAGCAAATTCACAGCTGTTTGTAAATTAAAGCAAAGAGCAGCTCAGTGACTTGGGAGCTCACAGACATGTAGAGCTGTGCATCTGTCTGCACTTCAGGCTGACAGGGCATCAAGAAATCCTAACTCACCATGAGCTGTGTGCCTGTGGTGCTGAGCCCCAATAATACACCTTTCTAACAACCAGCATGTTCAACATCAGGGTGAACACCCATATAACATAGTGACATGGATCACAGGACAGGGCTGTCTCATAGACATACATGTATCTGTGTCCAAAATCATTCTCACCTGCCTATAGGGCTAGATTTTTAAAGATTTTTATCTGCTAAAGGGTGCAGATAGAGAACTTTGTGGGAATGAAGCACTGAAAACAGCAGTGGGAGCCAATTTGCCTCTATAGGTCCTGAACATGTTTGGAGATTCTTTCAGGTACTGTTGTTTACCCATATCAGTTCCTTCTTCATCAAATGTTTATTCACATATTCTTTCTTACTAGTACTGGGTTTCATAATTGAAACAAATAGCATTTAAGAAATAATACTAATGCAAAATAATATTTGCTCATCTTGTATGTATTTTCAAATACCGATGAAATTTATTAATATTTTGTAGTAAATACAGAATTAAAATTTACTGATTGGTATGGGAGGAAAAAAATTAATTTTGGTTGTAATCACCACAAAGACATTGTAATAAATTATTGTATCGAATTATTGTACCTGGGTGTATGCGCATAAAGGAAAGATAGGGGTTGCCTCATTTCACTGGGACAACTATGTTTTGAATCATCTTGCATACATCTAGTGTGCCAGGGGCATCTTGGGAGCTAATCAACACCTGTAAATCTCACAAAAAATACTGGATTCAAGTTTATAAGACAATCTTGTTAACTTCGGCCCAGTTTACCCTTAGATTTTACAAACTGATGAAGGTACACCAGAGGAGACAGTTTATACCTGCAAAGTGTACATTAACTTAACTCCTTCCTTGGACAGAATAGAAATATACTTTATGGAAAGTACGACTGCATCTATTCTATGGCTCTAAATCTTTAAGTTCAGTAGCAAAAACAAAGAGGTCAGAAAAGGAGGGGGAGCAAAGTGACTTGCTGTGTTACAGCAGAGGAGCTAGAGGAAGCTACTCTAAGTCTAAACCACCACCATGCTCTAAATGCACAGAGATGGCAAGTAACAGGCAATACCTATTTCAGTCTTCCAGAACACCCACACAACTGTCAAAGTGGCATCAAGGGCTAAAATCCGATCAAAGATTTTGAACAAGGACCCAGTGAGCTTTCAAAGGACTGTTTTAGGGCCACCCTCTGCTCAACCCCTTTCCCAGTCACAGAACTTTGAAGAGAAGATGATCCAACTCACTGGGAGAGGACTGCAGATTTCCTCCAGCTGTAGTGGAGAGCAATACAAAGTAGCCCAGAGAGGTACCAGAGCTTCCTCCACCGACCCCCATGAAAACCAGCCTTGCTCTGGCACCCTGAGAGGAGCGTTAGCAATCAGCTTACAGGTACTCTGACATCCAGATATATTACCCAATGGACAGAGATGTCTTTTTTCAATGTTCTTTTAAGCCTCACTAAAACTTGCAGCAATGGATGTCCATGTATACCAAGTTCAGGTATGCAGAGCAAAAGGACTGTTTAGCTGTATGCAGAAAGGCACACCCACAAGGGTGCCCAAGGAGGAAAAGACGACAGCACGGCAACCTGGAAAACTAATCACTTATCTCAGGTTTTTATGGGCTCAGCTGAGTTTGACCTCTCACTGTTAGCAATTGGTTAGACGATGTAACTAGGAAGAGGGAAAATGTCCCTGTCCCATCTATCACACGGCAAGGAGGCTCCTTACAGCTCCCCTTCAGCACCTAAATCAGAATATCTGCAGCAGTTACCCTCCCTTAAAGATTTGGCTGTTCAGAAGCATCAGTGGGTTTCATGGTTGCAGAGGCTCATTGCAGGAAGTAAATTAATGGGGAAAACAGCTGAAAAGGTGCTTATAAAAAAATAAAATAAAAAAAATAAAAAATAGCAGTCTTAATATCTTAGACAACATATTTGCACTCCATTCTTGTAACAAAAGACATGATGAGATTGCGCGCGCGCACACGCTCATGCTTATTCTATGCTTTTTCGCCTCATCTGGCAGCCGCTTTCCGGTCCAGCAGACACTAACATCTAATGAGTCAAACTTCCCATTTTCAGACTAATCAGTCGGCTGCACTAATTGCAAATGCAAATATGCAAATTTATATTAATTAATTACTCTGCTAATTAGTTCTGCGGTCTTTTTGGGGTAATAAATCATTGTGCAGTGGAAGGGAAACACGTCCTGTCCCATTTCACTCCACATAAAAATTTAATGTACTCATTGAAGAAAATATATAAAAAAAAACCCTGATTCTGATAGCTCTGCTTCTACTGATGAGTCCCCCACAGAAAGGTATGATTGTAAGAAGGCTTTCACATCTCCAGCAAATGCCATCACTAAGGTGCCTGTTAGCAATTTAATTATCACATTATGAGCTCCAGGAAAAGCCAGTTTGCTGTGCTGCAGGCTGTGACTCTGAGCTCCGTAGTTCACACATTTTGCAGCAAATGCTGTTTATACATACATGAAAGATAATCTGGAGGAAAGCATTCAGTTTGCTCTACCTGAACGGACTGCTAAAGCTTGCGCTCAAATACTAGGAAGCTGGGTCTGCTAGAACCATCGGAACTATATACGCTTCAGACCTGAAGCCTCACTAGACCCCAGTAGGGAGGGTTGCCAGAAAAAATGAATAGTAGCTGAAGAAGAAACTGCTTGTAGAGCCCTCCTCTGGCCTTTAATTTTACTTTGGCTCTGATCCATTTTAACAGGGAATTTGAGGCTCCACAGTCAGCTTCACATCTCCCTTGTACCCCTCATCTCCCCAGCACATCCCAGGAATGGGGGGTTGCTCCACTGCACCCCCTACTGTTGGACTGCCCAGCCTCAGGGGAGCTGTGGTCTTCCTTCGCCATGCTGAAGTCTGAAAGGTGCAGTGAGGAGGGTGTCACGCTGGTGGAGGCTCAGATGCCAAAGCCCGACAAAGTGCGGATGTCACTCTATCTACATATTCCTCCTTGTCGAACAGAAGAACATCCCCATAGCGTTACAAACCCAATAGCACCTGGCTGCAGAAAGAGGGCCACTCAATCCCCTCACCATATGGATCTACATGAAGTCACACAAATACTGGGGTGCACAGTGCACCGTGGGCATCCTAGGAGCCAAAGGCTTTCCTAAGAGCCTCAGAAAGACATTAAGCAAAGTCCATCCTCTTATCTTACACAAGTTAAGCCACAAGAAATGCAGCACGTCCCACTGCTCTTGGAAGATTTCTTCAGCCTCCACTTGCTACTTTTCACTATTACATACCATCATTTCAAGAAATGTGAAACATTCACAGAGCATTTTCTGGAGAGTCTGAATGTGATCAAGTGAGTTAATCTGCCTCAGAGAGACAGTCTGAAAAACAGATAAAGATGTT